TTTGTAGAGTAATATGACATGAAGCAACTCCCTAACTGACAGCAGAGAGAGAGAGAGAGAGAGACCAATCTCACTCAGCAACAACAATTACTTGCTGAAATCACTTCCTTAGAATCTGATCCCACTAAAACCCCGCAGCAAGAGCAAGAATTAGAAACTAAAAAGCAAAAACTGAAAGAGTTAGAAGAAAAGCAGAAAAAGTTATAGATAAAAATTTACCTCTCCCTACTCAAATCACTAACTTAGAAAAAGAAATTAAAGAGTTAGAGCAGAAAACTAAGAGAACTGTAGCCGAAGAAACACTTTTTACTGAGAAAAAGAAACAATTGCAGGAGTTATTAAAAAAACAGAGTGATTCTAATACTGCTAAACCAAGTGATAAAACTACTCTTTATGTTGGAATAGTAGGAATAACTGTTTTTCTTTTAATAATTATCATTGCGTTTACACGCAAAAAGAAAAAAAATATGGGAAAAAATTGAAAAGAAATAAGTGGAGGATTTACGCCTGAACTGCAAAAAAATGAGAAGAAAAAGGTTTTAGTTATGAAGAATGCAAAGAATGAATAGATATTGGTTTAAAAGTTGTAGATGCTGATTATGCTTGATGAATTAAAAACGTCAAAAAGAAAAACGCTGAATGGGTTTTGAATTGTGGTAACGAAAAAAGTCTGAAAGAACGATACAAAAGTTATTTAAAAAATAATGAAAAGCAACCAAAAGCTGAAGAAAACAGAACAGCATTGCCTTTTTATTCTGCACAAAGTCGGAAAAATTTAAACCCAAGTTTTCTTAAAGATTTAGGAGAAAAATATTTGATCAATATTTTTCCTTTCAAAGATAAACTAAAAGGAAAGTGGCAAGAATTAGTTTCTAATTACAAAGAGAAAGGATTTTTAGAACAAGAAATCGAATCCTTTATCAGTGAAATTAGTGAAGATGAATTGAAGCGGTTTACAACCACAGAAAATCCGCGTGAAGAAGCAAAAAAAATGGTTTGAACACTTAATGAGTTTAGTGTTCCTTGAGATTCTATTAAGCAAAAGATAGAATTTGGTATCAACAGTAGAAACTGAGAAGACATCCATCCTGACTTCACTTCCGAATTACAAGAGCAGTGAGAAAAAAGAGGACTTAGTTATGAATTAGCAGAAAAGTTTATAAAAAACTCTGGTTTAACTCCTGAACAAGTAAGCGAGGTTCACTGATTAAACAAAGAAAGATTAAAAGAAGAATATAAAGGTTGCCTAGGTGTAGTGGATGAGAATAATTGTAGCATTGATGCTCAAACATACTTGGATAAACATTATCCTAAAGAAAAAAGAGCAAGTATTGCTGAACTAAATCTCCGAGATAAAAATTTGAGAGGCTCATTAAGGCTAGAAAACTTTACTAATCTAAAGAAAGTAGATTGCTCAGACAATAGAACTTATGATTGTGGCAAAATTACCTCTTTAGAAATCATTAACTGCCCTAACCTGGAAAGGATTGACTGTCACGGAAATGAGATAATCAAGTTAAACCTTGGCAAATTAGACAAACTTGCTGGTTTATGATGTTCTGACAATCAAGTTAAAGAATTAGATGTCAGTGGTTGTTCTAATTTGAAAGAACTTATTTGCAGTAATAATTATTTAGTTAATCTAGATTTAAGTCAAAACAGGAAGTTATGAAGACTAAATATTAGTGATAATAACTTTGCTGAGCAAGACCTAAGTTTTTTGAGTCATTTGACTAACTTAAGAGGATTAAGACTAGGAAATCATTTACACTATCCGAAAAAAGTTGAACTCGAGATATATTTATTAGAAAATGACTTAGTAAAATCACCTTATTATTTCCTAACTACAGGTGAAAGATGGTTAAGACAAAAATATCTACAACCATTTTTATGGTTCCTTAGAACCTTTGAGAAACTTGAATAAGTTAGAAATGCTTGACAATTGCTAATACTGATTTGGATAGAGGTTTGGAATATCTGTCAGATAGTGTTAAAAAAATAACTAGTTGCCACGATAAAATTGGTTCTGAATTGTACATTTATGGATGAAACCTAAGAGTTTGAAAAGAAGCTCATCCTGAACTAGTAAGCGGAAAGAAGGTAAATAATCCTTACGATGAATTAGAAGTAGTAGCAACGATACCTTCTGGTCTGTTAAATAAAGAAAGAAGAATGAATGAAGAAAACCATAATCTGATAGAAGTAAATTATCAAGAATTTGCTTTACGAGATAAGCGTCCTTTTTCCTGAGAACTAAGAGAAAAGGAATTATCTATGACAAAAGAATTGCCCACTAGACTTTACAATGTTTTAACAGGCGAGACAGAAGAAACAAGGAATAATCCTAATATCAGAAATTATGCCATTCTCTCATATTTCTGAGGAGACATCAAAGATAACTCATTGCTGGAAAAAATAAAAGTTGTTTATCAAGAAGGGGATGGAAAGGTGGAAGAAAAAGAATTAACTATAACTAAATGAGGGAAAAAGGCCTTAGATAAGGCTATCAAAGTCTGCAAAAATTTAGGCATTTATTATCTTTGAATAGACCAGTTATGCATAGATCAAACTAATGTCGTGGAAAAAAACTTAGAAGTTCCTAAGATGAAGCAATACTATAATAACGCAGAAGTAACTTTGATAGCAATTAACACTAATGTTAAGGAAGTACTTGAATGAAGTTTAGGTCCAGAAGCTTTTAGAAAAGTTATTGCTTCTAAGTGATTCACTCGTTCTTGAACTTATCAAGAAGGGCTTTTGTCTCACCAGACTGTTTTCATGTTTGATAACTGCTTAGTAGATGGGAGGACTTTGTCACAGATTTGAAAACAGGGTCAGCCAACTCAATATTGAAGGTTTGAACACAAAGAAGAGAAATTTGTTGAATTTGTGAACGACAATCCAAAAGTATATTCTACTCCTCTTGGTTGAACTTATTGCAAAGATAAGCATATTTTGCAAGACAAAGCAAATTTAGGATTATCTGAAGCTCTAGAATCAATCAGGAATCGCGAAAGGACTATTTCCATTGATGGAGTATATTATATCTTAGGATTACTGCCCTATGGTGAGAATGTAAAACCTAAATACAATGAATGAGGACACGATTATACTAAAAAAGAATTAGAAGAAGCTTTATTAGATGTAATGAAAATGGCAGTGAATAATGGATACGCCGAACCATTCACTTGGTTTGGACCAAGAAGAAATGAACCTTGATTGTGGTGGATACCAGAAATAGGCAATAACGGCTCAATTATTGATATTAAGAAAAATAAAAGGTGGTTTATAGGGGAGGTATGTATTCGTTGTGTACCCAGAAGTATTGAGTTAACCGAAAATCAAGTGAAACTAGTTGGCTCTAAGCATGTAATCACTCATCTGCTTGATTATAAGTCATGGCAAAAACAAGCCTTGTTTGTTGGAAGCATTAAAGTAGAGACAACAAATAATAATCGTTTAAGTCTACAAGGAATTAAAAAAACACTTGAGTCAATAAAAGAAGGAGATGTTTTAATAATACCTAACAAAGAACAATGAAAAAGTAATAAACCGTTTGCTATTTTGGTTCCAAGTGAAAATAACGTTCATAGTTCAGTGGATATAGTAGTGATACGGTTAAAAATATACTCTTTTGTACCAGAAAAAGAACAGGAATTAATAATTGATATGATTAATAAAAAAGTAATTGAGTTGCAGAACATTAACCGCCAGTCAAAACAACAAATTACTACTACTATCCAACTTCCACAACTTAAAATAAGTAATGAGCAATTTGGTCAGCAACTGGCTCACTATGGTAATCATTATTTTCAAGGCTCTCCTGTTTGTAAAAGAAGTGGTTTGGAGGAATATTACGTGCAAAGTGATAATCAATGAAAACAAGTGATGTGAATATGTGATCAATATGGTAATGGTTATTGGCAATATCATCAACAATATGAAGCTCAAATTGAAGTTCCTTCTCATCTTTTGAAAAGGTAGCCTTAATTTTCTTGGTTATTCTGAAAAATTAGTAGATGATAAAAAACTACAATCATCTTATCCACTTATTTCTTTTTTAAAATTAATAATATATAAAAGTTAGCGAAAATATACTCATCTTATAATACTCTTTAATCCCTATGAATAAAAGTAATATCTTGTAATTATTCATTTTCCTCGGTAGAGGCGGCTTTGCTTCTCTTGTAAAGTAATTGTTGCTGACCTTGAGAACTCTATAAAGATTTTTCTAATTCTTTCATATCTATTCCCAAATTTTTAGCTTTTTCTTTTATCTTTTCTTTAACTTCATCCATAGTTTGGGAGTTAAGTTTTTGTAAATCAGCAATAGCTTGGTTTTTTTGAGTTATTTGGGCTTCTAATTATTCCTTTTCTTGATTTAAAGTAGAGATTTCTTTCTCCAATTTTTCCTCCCTATCTTTTTTAGCAATTAATTCTTTAATTTTATTTAGTTATTTTCCACTGCTACTATTTTAATTTCGGTATACCGGGCACGAAAACCTCATTGTTTTTTAGTTCTTTTTTTAGGCTTATATTTCATTCCCATTATTTTCTTGTGTTTTCTATTCTTAATCACTTCGCCAATCAATTTAATAGGTAAATAAGGCTGGCCAAATTCCTCATCTTTTTTTAAAACTTTATCAATAACTATTTTATCACCTGGATTAGTTTCTTTTTGGAAAGGAATTCAGAGAGTTTGGTCTTTTTTTTCTGGAAATCAGGTAATTTGTTTGCCTTTTCAAAATGTAATACTCATAATAATAAATATTTTAGCAAAAATTAGATGAATGATATGACTTAATTTTCTTTTTTCTTTTCTTTTTCCTAGTTCTTATCTACTAATCACCAAATTATTAGAGCAAAAAGCAACAAAATAATTATCCAAATTAGTTGTTGTTGTCAAGAAGCGGGATGGGGAGGAGAATTAGAACCTCCTCCGTGCCGATGCCTTATTGCAGAAGAATTCCCGTGCGAAATATAATTATTATTTGGTCATATATATTACCATTTCTCTCGTTTATTAATTTCTAGGCTGGCAAACTTAGTCAAAGAGTATTTAAAATAAATAAGAATGATTAATCATCATTATTTACCAAGAATAAAAAAAATATTTATATGGCTAAAAAAACTGAATTAAAAACAATTGCTATTGATATCAAACCCTTACTGACTGCTAGAAATTTATTAAAAAATATAGTAAAAGATGCCGAAAATGAATATGAACAAATGGGGGCGGTGCAAGCTTTTGAAATTTGTTATGAATTAGCCTGGAAAACTTTAAAAAAAGTTTTAGCATCTCAGGGGATAAAAGAAATTTATAGTCCAAAAGAAATATTTCGCAAATCCTATTTGGAAGGTGTGCTGGCTGACTTGCCAACATGAATAGAGTATTTAAATACTCGTAATCTTACTGTGCATACTTACGATGGAGATATCCTTAATGAGGTGTGAAGCATTCTCCCCCAATTTTTAAAAGACTTAGATTTACTAATTAAGAAAATTAAACCTTATGTTGCAAATGGAAAATAATCAATGACTAATTGTTCAACAAATTTTATCTAAATACCCTTACCAATTTTATGCTTATGGTTCCCGGGTCAAAGGCACTGCCGGAAGAATTTCTGATCTTGATATTTGCTATCAAGACCATATTTCTAGTTTAGTGCTGGCCGATATTCGGGAAGAATTTACTGAGTCTGATTTGCCGTTTGAAGTAGAACTGGTCAACTGAAAAAATATGCGTCCAGATTTCCAGAAAATAATTAAAAAAGATTTAGTTTTAATCTCAGCCAATCACTAATTTCCTGACCTATAAAAAAAAGTAAAAATCATGACTACTAGTCAAACAATTATCCTAACCAGTCTGATAGTTTTAGCACCAGTTTACTATTGTTATGATTCACAGCCAGCACTCCTTAGTAAAGAAACCCAAATTACTAGGGAAACTGAAAATAGATTGGAAATTATTCAAGGACTAAGAGAAAAATTATTAATTCGCGACAAAATAATCTTTTATTCTGCTGATTTTTGTTAAATATAGATTATAATCATAATTAAATGACCACCCGCCCAAAAAAGTCACCAAAAAAGGCTATTATTCTTTGAATTATTATTTTTTCGCACATTCTTCCGGTTATTGCTTCGGCTTTTTATGATAAGGTAACTCATACCAGTCATAATGTTAAATTAACTGAATTAAGGTATTGATTGTGAGCCTTTACTTGATGGTCAGCGTGGGCTTCTCTGTTAACGGTTCCTTGGGCAATTTACAAATTGTTTAATCTTAAAAGCAAGAAAAATAGTTATGGTGAACAAATGTGAGACATAATAGTGGCGGAAACTAATTTCCTGAGCGGAGTTATTTTTTGCTGCGGTGGTTTTTATTTAACACTTCATACTGCCTTTAAAAAACCAGAAATAATATATCCTTTGATTGGTAATGTGAAAACAATTTATGTTTGACTTGTTTATAACTTTTTTTGACATGTTTTAGCTCCGGGTTTGACTTTTTATTACTTCTGAAAATATTGCCGAGTTGACAAGTTAGTAAAAAGAAAACCACTTGGTTTAACTATCAATTTGTTTAACCCTATCATTTATTTTTTTTATATTATATTGCGACCATTACGGTTTAATTTTTCCAAATCGTCGACCAGTCTGCCCCGTCATTATCCTTCTAATTATCCTTATCCTCCTTTTTTTTGGATTATGGGTAAATATGCTAATGGAAATGAGGAAAGAGTTGGTCGAAGTAAATTTTTATTTTTCAGTTGACAACCAGGCCGACTACCAGGCTTAATTTGATTAGCAATAGTGGTTATTTTTTGGTGTATAATGTTTTCGCTATTGTTTCATTTTCTAGTCAAGTTTAAAAAAAATAAAAGCAATTTATGAAGGAAAAGAAACTTTCTTTAATTTTCATTCCTTGCCAAATATTCCTTATCTATTTCATCCAAAAAAGGTGAGTATAATTCTTGACTACTAATTAAATAGAGTAATCTTTTGGCTCGAGTTATCCCAACATAAAATAATCTTTTTTCCTCGGTTAGGTCTTGGGTTTCTTTGTAAGGAAGGGTTCCTCGGTCTAAGTAAACAAAAAATACTACTTCAAATTCTAATCCTTTGGCTTGGTGAACCGAAGAAAGTATCAAATTATTACGAGTTTTAATTAACTTTTTATCTTCAAAAGCGATAATAATCCATTGTAAGAAAGAATTAAGCAATTCATTTAGGTTAGAATACACTTTTTTGCGCTTATTTTCTCAATTTTGCGCAATATTAAGAAATTGTTGGACATTTTTTTCTCTTTCGGAAGCATTAACACGGGTTTTGAGGTGTTCCCAGTAATTAAAATCATTAAGCAAACTGAGTAGGAAAGTGCTAAGAGAAATTTTTTGTTCTAATTTTTCTTTGAATTTATTAATTTTCAGAATAACGGCACTGATTTTATCTACTTGCCCGGCAGCAATTTTTTCTTCGTTTAAATTGGTGATGGCAGCAAAATTATTAAGATATTCGTAAATGCTTATTCCTTCTTTTTCGCTATTTTGTTCAATTTTTTCAATCGTGCGGGCTCCAATTTTTTCCTGTAATGATAATACCCGTAATAGCGAAAGGTTATCCTGGTACATAACTGCTCGTAAAAAAGACAAAACATCTTTGATTTCCTCCCGTTCAATAAATTTGAAAGAACCTAATATTTCATAGGGTATTCTTTGAGCGACTAATTCTTGTTCAAGGCGGGTGGAAAGATAATTATTACGGTAGAGAATAGCAATATCATTAAACTGAATTTTTTCCCGCACTAGTAATCAGCGAATTTGCCGAACAATGGAACGAATTGACAACCTAGTGAAAAAATTTGTTTTTATTCCTTCTGACTTGGAAGTGTTGAGTAGGTTATTAACTAAAATAGACTGATTTCTTTGGACAAAAGAATTAGATAAATGGAGTATATTACTAGTTGAGCGATAATTAGTATTCAGGTAGATAGTTTTTCATTCCTTATTTTTGGCAAAAGAGGAAATTAATTCCGGAGTGGCACCTTGGAAGCCATAAATAGCTTGATTGGGGTCGCCCACTAAAAAAACATTTTGTTTATTACTCAAAATTAGTTGAATTACTTCTCATTGAATAGAGTTAATGTCTTGAAACTCGTCAAGGAGAATATGAGTAAACTGTGCTTGGTATTCTTTGCGAACTTGCGGATGATAATTAAAAAGAGTGATAGTATAGAGAAGTAAATCATTAAAATCTAGCGCCTTATTAGTTTTTAAATATTCTTCATATTTTTGATATATTTCATACCTTGTTTTAGTTAATTCGTCAAATTTTAAAGGGTTAGTATCAAGTTTGCCATTTTTTCAACCACTAATATAAGAGAGAATAGTATTTATTTCTTTTTTTTCGGCATTATAATTATTTTGATAAAGTATTTTGCGAACTATTACTTCCTGCTCGTGGCGGTCATAAACTGGAAATTTACTGTCAGGGAAGCCTAATAGATGGGAGTATTTGTTGAGAACATGAAAACAAAAAGAATGAAAATTGTAGATATGCACATCCTTGGGAGAAACTGTGGTAACATGAGAAAAAACTCTTTTTTTTATTTCCTTAATGGCTTTTTTGGCAAAAGTTAAAACTAGGATATTTTGTGGTCGGGCTTTTTGGCTCGACAACAAATAAATAAGTCGGCTTACCAGCGTTTTAGTTTTGCCACAACCAGGTCCAGCAATGACACATATGCGAGGATGCTCTTCATAAACAGCTTGTTTTTGTTGTTCGTTTAATTCTTGGAGAAATTCCATTCTTATTTAATTTTTTGGAAAAAACGAACAACACTTCATTTTCTTTTTTTCTTTTTCACCAGTTAAATTTTAAGTAATGAAGTCCCTCTTCTTTTGCTGAATGGCTTTTTGTGCAATTAAAAAAACATTACTCTTTATAGCCCCAGCCTCGGCCGCCATACTGCACCCTTGCTGTTAACCGACTATTTTTAAATTTGAATGATTCTTTTTCTCTCGTTGTCCTTTCAAATTCATTTTTTAGATATTCTATTTTCTCAGTAGTAGTCATTCCATTTCAATTGATCCGTTGATTTTGCTGGATGAAATTGATAAAGTTAACTCTTATGGAAGTAATTCTGCTGTTCATGATTGTTTAAATGCTGTTTTGGATCCGGTACAAAATAAAGAAATGCTTGATTATTACCTTGAGGTTAAGTTAGATTTTTCCCAAGCAACATTTGTAGTTACAGCCAATGATCCGAATAAAATCCCAAATTACTTGTTATCAAGGATGCCGATGATTGTCGAATTACCTGGCTACAATATCGAACAAAAGAGAGAAATTGCTAACAAATTTATTCAAAAGTGATTTGACCGAAATTCAACCCTTAATCAGAATAATTTTGAAATTACTCCTGAAGCACTCGAAACTTTAATTAACAAAACTAAGGAAAGGGGCGTCCGACAACTAAAATCAGCCCTCGACATTATTTTCGATTACTGTCTTTTACAGTGAGCCGAAGAAACTAACCAAGGAAATTCAGAAAGCAAAATAAAGATTGACGCTGAATCAGTCCATAAAATTATCCCTCATGATTTTTTTAATATTGATTTGGAAGGTGACACTGAAAATAAAAATGACAAACGGCAATTAGCAATTTTGCAACAAGAATTAGAGAGACTAAAAGGAGAAAAATTAGACCAAACTCAATTAAGAGCCGTTAAATTCAATACTTTGTTAGTGCTACGACAATTTAGAGGACAATTTGAGGAAAAAGAATATCAGAATTATGAGGGAAAAATAAATACTGCTGATTCACGAGAAGAAGTTGAAGTTATTGCCAAAGAGTTTTTATTAAAAATCAAACAAAAAAACGTCTCTCCAAAGCCTTCCAGAGCAGATAATGATAAGGATAAAAAAATAAAAGATGAATTGACGGACAAAGGATGTGAAGAAAAAATTAAACTCTCTAATGCCGAAATAGAGAAACTAAAAAGAAAAATGGAAAATTTGCAAAAGCAGGAAAAATCTAGAAGCATTAAAGATAATGCTCTATTTATTATAGTTATTGTTGCCTTGATTATTTGAGGAGTTTACGGAATATTTAAATTACTAATTTTGCTTAAAGAGCAAAAAAAAAAAAAAAAACAGGGATAACGTAAAAGGTGGAGAAAAATTTTCTTTCCCTTGGTACTATCGTTCCTCTTATTTTAAAAACTTGAATTGCTTTGGATTTGTTGGGCTACTAATTTTTCGTCTGATTGGACTTGTTGTTTAAGTGCTTCATTCTCTTTTTTTAATTGTTCAGTGTATCGCAAAAGGTCTGATAAAAAAGTTCCTTTTCAAGAATTAATTTTAATTTTCTCTTCTCCAACTAGTCTAACTAATTGTGAAAATTGTTGACTATTTAAGTGCTTTAAATCATTTCCCTCAAGCGGATTATTTTGGAGATTTATTTGCAATTAGGAAAATTTTTCAGTAGTGTGGGAAAATCTACTTGCTTTATTTCATTACTAAAAAAGTTTATCTTTTCTAATTTTTCTTTATTGGGTAAAGTTAGTAAAAAGTTAAGGTTAGTAAATTTATTCTTAGAAGAACTTAGAGATTTTAAATTAGCAAATTCTTTTAAATCCATATCACCACTTAAATTGCGGTTGCTAATATCTAAATAAGATAAATATTGTTTATTGGTAATTTGATTGATATGTTCCTGAGCACTATTTACTATAATATTAATTTTTTACAGTTTTGGTAGTGGGAAAAACAAGAAAATTTATTTATGAAAAAAGTATCATATAGTCAAAAAAGGAGTGACTTGAAATTAATTTTTCTTCTCGCATTAATGATATTTCTTTTCTTATATTCCCTTGTTAGTTTTTGTTTTTTTATGCTGAAAAAATACAGAAAAGGTCGTCTTTCTCTTGGGCGATGAATATTTTTTTTATTTTTTGTTCTTGTTTTTTTATCTGTGATCGCTTGGTTGAGTTTTTTGTTATATCAATTCGCTATTTATCTTCATAATAGTTATTCTTAGTGGTTTTTGGAAAAAAATTATTTGCGGGAAACAAATGGATTATCCTTAATGTAAAATCTTCATAAGCGGTCTTTGTCATCTCCGGCATAATCAATGTTTACTCTCTTGGTGATAATAATTTGGTCTTTGTCGATTTCGGGTGCATCTTCTAAATAAATTAGATTGCTAGTAGTTAAATCAACATGATTAAGGCTTATATCAATATTTAGTGCTCGGCATAATTTTCCCGGACCATTAGTATAATAGTGATATTTTTTTTTCTCGTTAAGTTGGGAACTAACTAGAATTGTATGGTGATCAAGTGGTTCAGCTGCTCGAATTAATACTCCTTGTGGGTCTCCTTCCAGAGAAGAGGCAATATTAAAACAGTAATACATACTATAAATAAGATAAATATAGGCACAACCGCCCTGATTATTTAAGGCGGCAGATTTCCATCTTGACCTATTTTCCTGATGAGCATGGCAGGCTCGGTCAATTTTGCCGATATAGGCTTCAGTTTCGACAATTTTAACTTTGATAATTTGGCCATTAATATTTCTAACTAGTATTTTGCTGAGTAGTTTAGGGGCTAATTTATCAGCACTAACCATGAAAAAATTGGAGTCAGTAATACGTAAACTTATGTTTTCTCTATTCATTTTTTAATTATTTATTTTTAATTTCCTTTTTAACTTCTTCTAGCAGTTTTTTTAATTCTTGGTGATAATTATCTTGCTGACTGATTAGATTTTCTAATTCGGTAGTGAGTTTTAACAATTTTTCATCTATTTGCTGAGGAGTTAATTCAATTTCATTTTGGGACAAATATCGAGCCGGAACCAAAATATAATTGCTTTCTTTAATTTCTTCTGGGGAAACAACTTCCGCCAGCAGTCCATTTTCAGGAAGTTCTCGACTTTCCTGAAATTTATGATAAACTTCTGCAACATCCTGAATATTCTTGTCGGTTAGTATTCTTCGACTGCTACTAATTTTTTCTCCAAAATCATCTTGGGAAATATCAATCATTAATACTTCCTCCTTTTCTTTATTTTTTCGCAAAATTCAAACGCACGGAGCAATTCCAGTAGTATAGAATAAATTATTTGGCAAGGTAATTATTGCTTCCACTAAATTATCTTCAACCAACTTTTGCCGGATAGCCGCTGCTTTCTTGGCTAATCCAGATAGGGTGCCATTAGCCATAATTATGGCTGCTACTCCCTTTTCTTTTAACTTAAAAAGACAATGCTCTATTCAAGCAAAATTAGCATCGTTTTTGGGTGGTGTTCCTCATTGTCAACGAGGGTCATTTTCTTTTATTTGGTCGTTAGCAATATTGAAAGGTGGATTAGTAATAATATAATCGGCTTTTTTATTTTGGTGTAAGTCTTCTTTAAAAGTGTCCTCGGCTCGTGGTCCTAAATGAAATTTTAGACCGTGAATAAGCAAGTTCATCCGAGCCAATTTTCAAGTGCTATCATCAATTTCTTGCCCCAAACAAAGCGGCTGATAAGCATTATTGCCATTGCCTTTTTTATTTTTTTTAATGAATTCCTGACTTTGGACGAACATTCCACCACTACCACAGCAAGGGTCATAAATTACTATTTCACAATCTTTTCGCGGAAAGGGTTGGAGAATATTTACTAATAATTGAACCACGCAAGCGGGAGTATAAAATTCGCCACCAGTCCGACCACTACTAGCCGCAAATTGCTGGAGAAAAAATTGGTAAGTATTGCCTAAATAATCTAATTGTAAATTTCCCTCCTTCTTGACAAAAGCATTATCAAAATCATGAAAAATAGTAGATAATTTTTGAAAGTCAAGATTTTTATTCATAAAAGTATCTTTGTGGGTTAAATCTTGGTAATCTGAACCAGAACTTTCAATTTTTTCTAAGGCCTCATAAATAACTCGGTTAAAATTATTAGTGTTGGCGTTTTCTCCAATATAATCCCAGCGGCTTTTTTCGTCTAATCATAAATCATAATAATCAGGGTCTTCTCTATCCTCAGGGTCTAATTCGACTCTTTGTTGTTCGAACTTGCGATTAATGGCTAACAGAAAAATCAGGTCAAAACAGATTTCTTTATACTTATGTAAATCCATGCTGCCCCGCTGTTTATCCAATAGTTTCCACAGATTATTATAGAAGTCATTGTTATTCATAATAAAATTTTAATATCAATTCCATGGAAAAAAAATATAAATTGGGGGAAATTTGTGAAATTCGCTCGGGGAAAACTCCTGACTTTGAAAATAAAAAATATTGATGTCAGCATTCTTCCAAATTAGATAGTTGCAATTGTATCCCTTGGTATCGGGGAAAAGATATTGTTAAACAAGTCCTAAAAACAGAAAAGTATATAACTTCTCTGGCAGTAAAAGAAAACAATCAACCCTTAACCACTGCTAATTCTATACTATTTTTTGCTTTGGAATGTTTGCCATTTTTTTCAGGGAAATCTAATGTTTCTTGTTATGGAGGAGGACCAGGCATATCTATTTTAGAACCTAATCCCGACTTGGCTATTCCTGAATATCTCTACTACTCAATTTTAAGCAAAAGAAAAGAATTAAAGGAATTGAGAAGTGGAAGCGTTCAAAAATTCTTGACTAAATCAGAATTAAAAAACTTTTCCATTTCTCTCCCTCCTCTCCAAGAACAAAGTCAAACTCTCAAAAATTTTCAAATAGTTTATGATAAGTTATTCAAATCCGAAATTTTATATAGTGATAGACTTTTACACATAATCAAAACTATTTTGGAATATGCCGGCCATTTATTTCTTAAATGACGAGACAGCAAAATCAAAATCAAAGACCATTTTCAACTAATTCGCGGCAAAACTCCCTCCACCAAAAATCCAGAATATTACGAAAATGGGACAATTAAATGGATAAACAGCGGAGTTTTAACTAGCCTTTATTTTTTGACTGACGCCACCCCCGCTAGTAAGTTGGTTACGGAAAAAGCCGTTAAAGAATGCCAACTTTTCTACGCCCAGCCGAATACGGTTTTATTTTCGGACATTGGCCTCAACCCGGAAAAAATAGTTTGAGTTATGGAACAAAAGAACGAAGACTGAGAAACCGACGGAACACATGTTTGAACCCTTTTAGGAACACATGTTTGAACCCTTTTAGGAACGGATGTTTACGAAAATTCTACGTTGTTTTTTGCTTTACGGCAAATCGATTTTAAAGTTTATGCCAGTGGAAGCATTATCAACCACTTGCAAGGCTCGGCTTTGCTGAATATGAAAATCAACTGAGTTTCTGACCCTGAAAAACAAAAAATATTTTTTACTATCTTGAATAGTAAACTCGCGAAAATCAAAGATTTGCATTCACAAATCAAAGATTTGCATTCACAAATCAAAGATTTGCTACTTTTGAAGTATTTTGGAAAAAAATAAAAAATTAAATTATGAACGAAAATGAAAAAATGGAAAGGTTAAGAAGTAAATTTCTCCCTAATGTTAAATTTGAATATGAAATTTGTAAGGAACAATGCCAACATTGCCGTGAGGAATTAGGGTGTACCAAATGGAAAGATAAAATATGATAAAAGAAAAAGAAATAGTTAATAACTTCCTAGGAAAATTACAGGAATGAGATTGGCATCGGCTAGAAGGTATTCAAACTGGACGAAATAAAACTGACAGTGCCATTTATGAAAGTGAACTTTTTAGCCAGATTAAAAAAATAAATCCTTATCTGACTGATAATGCCGTTATGAAAGGAATTGAGGAATTGCTCAATAGTCAAGATAACCAAACTGCTTTTAATTATCTGCGGAACGGTTTAAAAATCAACATCCAAGGAGAAAACAAACAGGTTAATTTTATTGATTTTGATAATCCTCACAACAATAAATTCTCTTACTTTCCTTGATTACGTGTTCGCACTAGACATAATAATTATTTAGAGCCGGATCTGATTTTATTCATTAATTATTTACCAGTGGTCGTTTTCGAATTTAAAGACCAAACCCGAGCCGGGAGAAACTGAAAAGATGAAGCCTTTTGGCAAATAAAAGATTATGAAAAAGATTTACCCAACCTTTTTCTCATTAATGCTTTTAATGTTTTAAGTAATGGTTATGATTTTTTAATTGGCACTACTAGTAGCAAAATTTTTCATTATACTCCTTGGAAATTTGAAAAAAATAATCTTTTTGCCCCAGAAATTATTTTAGATATTATTCAAAACTATATAGTTTTTAGCCAAAGTCAAGAAAAAAATAAAAAAATTGCTCGTTATCACCAATACGAATGTGCAAAAGAAACTTTAAGAGTTATTGAAAAATCTTCTCTAAAAGGAGGAGTAAATAATCACACTACCGGTAGCGGAAAATCTGATACTATGGCCTTTTTAGCCAAACAATTACGCCGTGAACATCCCCAATGTTCCATTATTATAATTACTGACCGCAATGAACTTGACCGACAAATTTATGAACGTTTTCGTGAATATGAAGGTTCCTTTTTCACACTTGGTGATTTGGTTATTATTAACGACATTAGCAAATTAAAAAATCAATTAGCAAAACCTAATCGGGGGAAAATAATTTTTGCCCTCATTCAAAAATTCCAAGATTTAGCAGAATTGACTGAATTTCATAATTCTGAAGGTGTTTTTGTTTTCATTGATGAGGCTCATCGCTCGCAAAATCTCGCGGCTGACATAGAAAATAAAAAAAGTTGAGCCTGAGAGATGCGACGGGTTTTCCCGCAAGCCTTTTTTCTGGGTTTCACTGCCACCCCTATTGAAGGAAAAACAGATAAAGAAATTGGTCCGATTATTCATACTTATTCAGTAAATCAAGCCCTAGAAAATGAAATAGTGGTGCCTATAACTTATGAAAAGGCCTACGAGTATTTGCCAAAGGTATATTGAGATGAAGAGGAATTTACTAAGCATTTTCCTAAAAAAGAAGAAACTTTTTTTGATAAAAGAAAAGGTGCTAAAAACAAAAAAGACATTCTTTTTGAAAGTCCTGAACGAACTGCGGCAATGAGCAAATTTTTTAAAAAAGACTATGAAAATTTTTCTCGCCACCATTACCTAAAAAACCAGCCCAAAGTAATGTATATGGCTTACAATGTCAAGGCCGCCCATAATTTTTTTAAGGAATTACAAAAAGACCCTAATTACCAAAATAAATCCTGTCTAGTTGTCAGTAAACAAAGTCATCATCATTCATCCGAATTAATTAGTGATGTCGGTAATGAAAAAGAAAATATTAAAAAATTTAAAAACCCTCAATCAAATATAAATATTGTCATAGTCGTTGACAAGTTAACTACTGGTTTCAACATGGAAAATTTAGAAAGGATTTATTTAGACCAGCAAATTGATGCTTCACACAGTTTTTTTC